GGAGGAAGGAGGGAAGATCTGGAGAGGAGGGAAAGGGAAGGAAGAGGGTGGGAGGAAAGAAGATAAGTAATGAGTAGGGAGGGAGGAAGGAAAGAAAGAAAGAAAGAAGGGAGGAAGAAAGGAGATGAGAATGGGAAGGAAGGAAGGCAAGGAAAGAAGGCAGGACGGTTTCTTGGTGCACTCCGAAACTTTTCATTTCATGACTCAACTAGGTAACATCATCAGTGTGAGAAAGGGAGTGAGGAAGAGGAGGAGGAGGAGGAAGACCGTGGGCTCCTTGCGGCTCTCTGAGCACCCAAATTTTCTTGCAGACGTTTCGCGACCCAGCTAGGTTACGTCATCCGTGCCTCATTCCTCCCCTCTCTTTGCTCCTGCAGAATATCGACATCACCAACTTCAGCAGCAGCTGGAGCGACGGCCTGGCTTTCTGCGCCCTCCTGCACACCTACCTGCCGGCTCACATCCCTTATCAAGAACTCAACAGCCAAGACAAGGTGAGTCAGTGCCTGCCTGCTCCACCGGGGGGCGGCTGCGCACATCGGAGAGCTTCCCCCGAATGCCCCTAGTGGAGGGCAAGGGGACTGCAACGGTGCAGAAGAAGTACAGGAGGCAAATACTGTACTTAAGCCACCCATCATTTAGCGACCGTTCAAAATTACAGCGACCCTGGAAAAAGTGACTTAAGACCAGTCCTCATACTTACGACCGTCACTCACAGCCTTCCTAGGAGCGGGGCGGTGAGAGACAGAGTGGCGCGGTGGCCTGGAGGTGGAGCTCCCGCCTCACAAGTCAGGAAGGCTGTGAGTTCTATCCTTGGGAGAGGCAGGTATTTATTCTCTCTGGGGCACAGTGAGAATTTTATCTGCTGAACAAAAAACTCCGCCCTGGTGACAGGAAGGGCATCCGGCCAGTAAAAGACTCGGCTAGCTCCATCCAGTTGCCCAGACTCCGCTCTGCAAGGGATTATTATGGGGTCGTTAAACGGAGATGATTTAGTGACCATTCAAAGTTACAATGACCCTGAAAAAAAGTGACTTAAGACCAAGCCTCACACTTATGACCGTCAGAGCCTTCCCTGGATCGTGAGATCGAAATGGCCAAATGTAACCAGCATGTATGCATGATAGTTGAACCACCCTGGGATCATGTGACTGCCATTTGCAACCCCGAAGCCAGCTCTGCTTAACGACTGCACGTCTCACTTAACAACCACAATGATTTATTAATGGCCACTGCAAAAATAAAAAAAGATTGTCAAATTGGGTTGGTCACTTGACCCACTCGTTTTACGGCCATCGTGACTTCGGCAGGCTCCGTTAAATGTCATAAGTCGAGGACTTCCTGCATTTCAAATAAAACCTCTTAAAATAACGAGACAAAAGGGTAAAATCCATTCCCGAATTAAATTTAATATTGCAGCTCTCAGCTCAGCAGCTAATCTGGAGAAATTTGATTTTATTAACAGATTTAACAGATAATCAGAGTTGGAAGGGACCTTATAGGTCATCTAGTCCAACCCCCCTGCCCAAGCGGGAGACCCTACACCATTTCTGACAAATGGCAGTCCAAACAGGTAGTCCTCGACTTCCAAAAGTTCACTCAGTGACCATTCAAACTTACAACAGCACTGGAAAAAGTGGCGGCTGATTTTTCCCACAGCAAATCAATAAATAATAATAAATGTCTTTCCTGTAGGAAAAAGAAAGATTTTAGCTAGTCCTCGATTTATGACCACAATTGAGCCCTCCCCCCCATTTTTCCTGCTAAATGAAACGTTCGACAAGTGAATTTCCCTCCGTTTTGCTAAACGACATTTTTTTAAATGGGAATTTTGACCCATTTTACGAGCTACCTTGCCACAGTTGTTAAGTGAATCGTTTGTTCAATTAGTCACGGTTGTTAAGTGAATCGGGCTTCCCCATCGGCTTGGCTGGCTAGAAGGTCGCAAAAGGGGATCACGGGAACGCTGCGTCCATCGTAAATGCGAGTCGGCAGACAAGCGCCTGCATTTTGATCCCGGGATGGCTGCAAAGGTCGTAAGTATGAAAAATGGTCATAAGAAGTCACTTTTTTTTTTCAGCAATGTGGTAACTTGGAACAGTCACTAAGTGTAGCCGAGGACTTAACCCGGGTGTTTGCAGGATCTTTCAAAAGAATAAAGGCAGCAGCTTCTTCCTTTTTTTTCAGGAAGTTATATTCTCAAATAAATTGTATTTTTCATTCCTTTCAAGTAAATCCAGGGCTATTTTGAGTTGACCTCAAGGGATTTGAGTTCTCTTCTTCCTTTTCTCACATCATTTCCCCAAATTGTTCTGTCAGTTTCTCTCCCCGCAAATAAAACACCCCCATACAAAAAATGTACACAGTCCAGGTAGTCCTCGACTTACGGTGGTTCATTTAACGACCGTTCAATGTTATAACGGCACTGGAAAAAGCGACTTACGCTGATTTTTCACAGTTACGACCGTTGTAGCATCCCCAGCGGGTCCTGTGATCAAAATTGAAATGGTATCGCTTCTCCTGCTTGAGCAAGGCGGCTGGACTAGAAGACCTCCGAGGCCCCTTCCAGCTCTATTTCTGTTCTTAAATTCAGATGCTCGACAATTGATTCATATTTATGACGGTTGCAGCATCCCGGGATCACGCAATTCCTTTTTGCAGCCTTCTGAGAAGGAAAGTCGATGGGGGAAGCCAGATTTACTTAACAACCGTGTGACTAAGTTAACAACTTGCGGTGACTCACTTAACAATGGTGTCAAGAAAGATCATAAAAATTCACTTAACGACTGTCTCACTCAGCAAGATAAATTTTCGGCTGAATTGCGGTCGTAAGTCGAGAACTCCCTGTCTGCCTCTCATCATACCGAGCCAGAATGGTCACTTTTAGTCGTTGATTTAACGACCACAATCGGGATTATAATTTCCGTTGCTAAGCAAATCATTTGTTAAGTGAGACTTGTCCAAACTTATGACCTTCCAGCCCCGTTTTGTTAAACGAATCATCTGTCGTTAAGTGAATCACACAGTCATTAAGTGAATCCATTGACTTTTCATTGTTTGAAGGTCACAAATGGGAATGACCTGACATACACACACACCCCAGGACGCTGCAGCCGTCATAAATACGAGTCGGTTGCCAAGCACCAAATTTTGATCATGTGACCACGGGGAATGCTTGCAAATGGTCGTAAGCGCGAGGACCGATCATCGGGCACCTTTTTTTTAATGCCCATAGTAACAAAGTGTCGTTAAATGAATGCTTGCAAGTCGAGGAGAAGCCGGATCAGCCCAGATCTCTGAGCAATCAACAATTAAATTAGGAAATTAAAAAAAAAAAAAGAATTACCTCAGAACACAAACATCTGCAAATGGCCACCATTGGCAGTTTTCCTGGATTTTAATTTATGTTCCCCTGGAAAAAATGATGATTTATTTTCTGTGAGGGTCTTTGATCAAAGTGGCTATTTTAAACTGGCAAATTAATGGCTGTGTCTTTCTCGCCAGAGGGGTGAGCAAGATAAGAATGATATAAATAAATTCCCCCCTTAAAATCCATTAATAAACTTGAGTGATAATAGATGCATGCAAGTTGTGTTTTTTTTAAAAAAAATAGATGCACGCAAGTTTTATATCTATATCGATATCGATATCGATATCGATATCGATATCGATATAGATAGATAGATAGATATAGATATAGATATATATGTGTGTGTTTTCTTAAGTTTTCGTGGGTACTTACATGTATGGCATTCAGCTTTGTTCGGGTATTTTCCCACGTCATTGTAGTTGAGCCTGATGATGGCAGATGAGATTCTGCCAAAACGTTGCTACAACTTTAAAAGCAATATAGATATATATTGCAATATATATATATATATTTCCTTGCAGCTCTGAAGGCAGCTTTTATATACATTGCTCAAAAAAATGAAGGGAACACAAAAATAAGACATCCTAGATCTGAGTGAATGAAATATTCTTATGAAATACTTTGTTCATTACATAGTTGAGTGTGCTGACAACAAAATCACACAAAAATTACCAATGGAAATCAAATTTAGCAACCCATGGAGGTCTGGATTTGGAGTTACACTCAAAATTAAAGTGGAAAAAAACACTACAGGCTGATCCAACTTTGATGTCATGTCCTTAAAACAAGTCAGAATGAGGCTCAGTCGTGTGTGTGGCCTCCACGTGCCTCTATGACCTCCCTACAATGCCTGGGCATGCTCCTGATGAGGTGGCGGATGGTCTCCTGAGGGATCTCCTCCCACACCTGGACTAAAGCATCCCCCAACTCCTGGACAGTCTGTGGTACAATGTGGCGTTGGTGGATGGAGCGAGACATGATGTCCCAGATGTGCTCAACTGGATCCAGGTCTGGGGAACGGGCGGGCCAGTCCATAGTATCAATGCCTTCGTCTTGCAGGAACTGCTGACACACTCCAGCCACATGAGGTCTAGCATTGTCTTGCATTAGGAGGAACCCAGGGCCAACTGCACCAGCATATGGTCTCACAAGGGGTCTGAGGATCTCATCTCGGTACCTAATGGCAGTCAGGCTACCTCTGGCGAGCACATGGGGGGCTGTGCGGCCCCCTAAAGAAATGCCACCCCACACCATTACTGACCCACTGCCAAACCGGTCATGCTGGAGGATGTTGCAGGCAGCAGAACGTTCTCCATGGTATCTCCAGGCCCTGTCACGTCTGTCACATGTGCTCAGTGTGAACCTGCTTTCATATGTGAAGAGCACAGGGCGCCAGTGGTGAATTTGCCAATCTTGGTGTTCTCTGGCAAATGCCAAACATCCTGCACGGTGTTGGGCTGTAAGCACAACCCCCACCTGTGGACACTGGGCCCTCATACCACCCTCATGGAGTCTGTTTCTGACCATTTGAGCAGCAACAGCCAGCATGCACATTTGTGGCCCGCTGGAGGTCATTTTGCAGGGCTCTGGCAGTGCTCCTCCTGCCTCTCCTTGCACAAAGGTGGGAATCTTTTTATAAATAAATTTATATAAATATAAAAATATAATAAAGCTGCCTTTGGGGCTGCAAGGAGAATCGAACCGTGGATTTTTAAAAAAATATGAGGATGATATATAATTGCTTATTTGAGGCAAAGGAACCTGTTGCGTTGATCGATGGATTTTCCCTGCGTAAATTCAGAGAGTTTCCGATGTTTTTGTCTTCCGGCTCCACTGAATATTCATCCTGAAGGAACATTTTAATCTTTTTTTTTTAATTATTATTATTTGAAACGGAGATTTTTGAACGCAATTCTTGGGGGACGCCGAAGGGACAAGCGTTAGGCGCAAAAATTCCCGTTTTTCTTTTGAATCTTCTCTTTCCCAGTAGTCCTCGGCTTACAACCACAAGGGGGGATCCCCATCCTTCAACAATGGGGTCCTTAAGTGAGTAGCATCCCGTTTTATGACCTTTTTTTTCCTGCCCCCATGAAGGGAATGCAGCTACGACCATTGTAAATACAAGATGGCTGCCGAGCGTCCGAATTTTGACCTTGGCAAAGGTGCGTGTGAGGACGGGTTGCAAGGTCAGGTTTTTTTTCCAGCGCCGTCGTGACTTTGAACCGTCGCTAAACAAAAGTCGAGAACTCCCTGGAATTCAGTCCGAGGAAAAACAAGATGAGGGAAGCCAATTTCGGGATTACAGATAGTCCTCGAATTACGACTACAATTGAGTCCCAAATTTACATGGCTAAGCGAGACATTTGCGAAGCGAGATATTTTTTTTGCCCCATTTTACGACCTTTCTTGCCACAGTCATTAAGTGAATCACTGCAGTTGTTAAGTGAGTGACACGGTTGTTAAGTGAATCCGGCTTCCCCATGGACTTCACTCGTCAGAAGGTTGCAAAAGGGGGATCACGTGACCTCAGGACACTGCGACCGTCATAAGTACATGCCGGTTTCCGAGTGTGTGAATTTTGATCATGTGACCATGGGGGGAGCCCCAATGGTTGTAAGTATGAAAAACGGTCATAAGTCCCTTTTTTCACTGCCGTTATGACTTCGGACACTAAATGAACTGTTGTAAGTCGAGGACTAGCTGTACAAACAGCCAAAGAAGCTTTTTAGACAATGTTTTTCAACCTCCGCAGCTTTACCGTGTGTGGACTTCTACTCCCGGAATTCCCAAGCCAGCATGGGAGTGGAAGCCCACCCCTCTTAAAGCATCCTGGCTGGGGGATTCTGGGAGAGGAAGTCCTCCCCGCTTAAAGCAGGCTGGCTGGGGGATTCTGGGAGTGGAAGTCCTCCCCTCTTAAAGCACTCTGGCTGGGGGATTCTGGGAGTGGAAGCCCTCCCCTCTTAAAGCATTCTGGCTGGGGGATTCTGGGAGTGGAAGTCCTCCCCTCTTAAAGCAGCCTGGCTGGGGGATTCTGGGAGTGGAAGCCCACCCCTCTTAAAGTATGCTAGCTGGGGGATTCTGGGAGTGGAAACCTACTCCTCTGACTGTTTGCTCACATTGAGAAACATCGTTTTTAACAGTTGCCGAGGTTAAGAACCGCTGGTCCAGAATGTCACAGCTGTCCTCTTAATATATCTCTTTTTATTTTTTTCCGTCCCTTGTTAACCAAACAAGGAAAGCAGAGGTCAAACTAGAACGGCATTTTGGTGCCTCTTGGGAGTTTCCAGCCTGGCTGTTTTTGTAGATTATGCATCCCATGAGTGGGAAGAAAGCAAACAGCAGCTGGTCCTAGACTCCCTCGTCTTTGGGGCAGCCCCTTGAGATAATGGAGGACCGTTATCTTGTCTCCCCTTGCTATTGCGCAAGGGTTGTGGTTCGCCGGCACGCAGGTGGGGACAGCTGAGGTCTCTGAGAGCGAGGACTGAGATGAGGGGCCTGCGTGTAATGCGGGAATGGGGCCAGGACCATCAGGGAGAGGAAGGCTGCCTTCGGAGATTGTGGAGGCTGGCAGCAGCGAGGAAGAAGACCCCGAGGAGCCTGTGCCCGGGGAGCGTGCGCGCAGGGCTGCTCGAAGGGAAGAGCAGCTGCAGCAACACAGGCGACTCGGGAGTAAGGCTGCAAGGTCATGGCCCCTCCCTTCAGAGATAAAAGCCAGCTGAGAAGCCGGAGTTCTTTGCAGGAAGCAAAGACGTTTTTGCACTCGAGCCTGGTGGACGTTCGGACTCTCTTAGGTTGGCGTTTGGAGACTTTTTGTGTTGGGAGTTATTGCTTAGTAACTTTATCTGGTGTTCTTGTCAGCCTTGCACCACCTCGGCAAGGCTCGTTCTTATCCGGGACAATGAGTTTGAAACAGCCTTTGAACCGGGAAGGAACGGGATTCGTAAAGAATCATTAAAAGATTGTGCTGTTACTTTTGTCTCGTGTTTGCTTCCTTGGAACCAGGTTTGGGTCAGAACAGGGAAGGTACCACCTATACTGTACCTGTGCATTTGGGTTTTTTTGCCTTAATGTAGAACCTCCCTTATTTTTCACCCTTGAATTTCGTTTTGTTAGATAGGGCCCAACCTTCCAGTCTCTCTAGATCCGTCTGTATCTAAACAATGGTCTTTCATTTAGCCCTCGACTTACAATTGTACATTTAGTTACCATTCTAAAAAGAACCATACTAAAAAGAACCCGGCTTAGGACCGCTTTTCACACTTACGACCGTTGCAGCAATCTCACAGGGTCGAAATGCAGATGTTTGGCCACCGGTTCTTAAATTACGATGGTTGCAGCGTCCTGGGGTGACGTGAATGAACCCCTTTTGACGACCTTCTGACAACGGGGAATCTAGATTTATTTAACATCCCATTTACCATCTTTACGGCGGCCGCGATTCACTTAACAACAGTGGCAGGGAAAGGTCGTTATAGGAGACAAAGCTTGCTTAGCCACTGAAAAAAAAAAATTGGGCTCGATTGAAGAGTCTTTTTTATGTTTCTTCTATTCTTCTATTCGTGTTTTTCTCTTCCCCAGAAAAGGAACCTGCTCCTCGCGTTCCAAGCGGCAGAAAGCATTGGAATCAAACCCAGTTTGGTAAGTCTCCATGCGGGGTTTTATTTCCGTGGGGAGGAGAAAAGAGGGGGGGGGTAGGGTTTAGGGGTGTGTGAAGGGAAGAGACGGGGGAGAGGGTGGAGGGAAGGCAAGGGTGATTGTTTTGGGCATTACAAGAGGTTGACCCCCATAATCACTCAGGTATTTCTCCCTAGGTTGTTGAGCAGGGGTGGTAATGCTACGGTTCAGCCTGGTTCAAACGACCTGGTGGCAGAAATTCTTAACTAGTTTGGCTAAACCGGTAGTAAAAAAAACCCCCTCCCATTATATTCTCTTCTTCCTCCTCTCAGCGGATTGGTACTGCAGGCCTCAGCTAGTGTGTGGAAAGATGCACACCGGCATGTTAGCTGCACACGCGCGCATGATCACCAAACCGGTAGTGGAACAGGTAGCATCCCACTGCGGTTGTGGAGGGTGGAGTTCCCATCCTCCCCTGCCAAGCCAACAAGGCCCCTGTTAGCTGAGTAAGTGGGGAGCTGTACTCTAGCATACGAGAGTCAGTTTGGTCGAGTGCTTAAGGCGTCACGGTAGAAACAGGGAAAGAGGGAGTTGTAGTCCTGCCCCTCAGGTATGAAAGGCCATCGGGTGGCTTTCGGCCCACTCTAGGAGATGGGGAGTTCTAGTCCCACTTCAGGTATGAAAGGCAGCTAGGTGGCTTTAGGCCAATCACTAGGAGTCAGTGAGTTCTAGTCCTGCCTTAGGCACAAAAGCTGGCTGGGTGACTTTGGGCCAATCACCAGGAGACAGTGAGTTCTAGTTCCACTTTAGGAATAAAAGCTGACTGGATGATTTCGATCAAGTCACCAGGAGAGAGTGAATTCTAGTTCTGCCTTAAGCATGAAA